CAAAATCATTACCTGTACTACCTAAAGGATGTGCCATTAAAATGTTATGCAAATTACTATATATTACTATTAAAATTAAATATTACCTCATAGATTTGCCAATAATCAATATAATCTATGAAAAAAAATGTGAAACTACATGAAATTTTTTTTTTTTTAAAAAAAATATTCTATCTATATTTTTTAAAATTTTGGATTGGCTGTTTGAAATACCTCAAAAATATAAAACTTTTATTATACACTTAAAAATAATACATAATAAAAGAAGAAGAAAAAGCTATTTTAAAATGTTTTACATAGTATATACTTATCTCAAAAAAAAAGGATATAATTTTATAAAGGAGCAAAAAACATATAAAATTAAGAACAAAGCAAACCAGTAATCTAATTTTAATGAAAAAACTTCACCTATATAGAGCTAGTATATACAACCTTAACTTCTGAGATCAGCAACTTTTTCTATGTGTACATGTTGAAAAATAAAAAAAAAAGTAAAATTTTCGTTTGTGTAACCAATTTATGAGAGTGACAGTTGAGTTTATTTATTTAACCCCTAGCCAGCACATACCATTAGTCACGTGATAGAAGTGTATGCAAATTGTTTAAATATTATGATTTATCAATCCTTTTTGTAAATCTAATGATATAAATTCGTTAACAGTTAAAACAATTATGAGATATCCAATGATCTTGAACGATAAGCCTCTTTCAAATCTATAATAAAGAAAAGATCAATAAAAATGATATTAATTATTTAATTATTTTTTTTAAAGCAAATTGTTACATTAAACCACCTACCTTCTTCATTAAATGTATCATTGCTGTAATTATTATCTTTATAAAAAATGTTACAAACATTAACGTTAAAATTTTGATGTTTAGTAACTCAGTAATTCAGTAGTCGATGATTGAAAATGTTCAATTTTTTTAAAAAAAACTAATATAATATTACCAACAATATCCACCTGATTTGTAATATTCGTCCATCAAAAATTTAGTGGCTCTTTTAGCTCGATTTAAGACATTATCTTTATTACCATGAGTCACATTATTATCAAATAATCTATTAATTTCGTCTTCGGTATACTTGAGTGCCAAATCAGTAGCTTTAGATACATCTTCTAAGGTATTATTTGGGCTCTTTCAAGTTCAACTTTACATTTTGCCCTGGCAGCTGCTCCTGTTACAATCAATTCGGAGTTAAGATAATATTCTTTTTGTGTTACAGCACGATCATCAGATCCATAAATAACAGATTGAGAAGGTTTATGTAAAACTTCTGTGACGATGGTAGTATTTTTGCTATTAAGAAATTCGCAACTTTGTTGAATCAAATATTGTTCACAAGCTGAATATAATTCTTTTCCAAATCAGAATTATGGACTTGTTCGCTGATCCAGGTACTTGCACGATCGCAGGCTTTACGCCACTCAGATTCGTATTCAAACAAAACAATTTTGAAATAGGTGACAATAAATGCAGATATCCAAAGACTCTTATCAAGACGTCTCAAACGTAGACTACCAACATAAGATTTAAGAGTTTCGACAGCTTCTTCGGATGAAGAAATCTTGAGTTGTTCGGAAATTATTTTGTGAAGAGTGAAAGATCCATTGTTATGTTGGGATTTGCATAAAGAAAGAGCATGGTCAACTTTAGCATCAGATCTAAGTCCATTATATATGTTATATATGGTAGTTTTTGTTGTTTCATCTACATCAAGCTTAGTAATTTGAACATTTATGGTTTGATTATTATAAGCCTCTACAGCTTTTTCAATCAGATACTGGTCGCAGGCAGAGTCTAATTCTTCCAACTCTTCTTTACTAAGTTTTTTACTGGCTACCCATTTATTTGCTTTTTCACAAATGTTACGCCATTCACTTTCGTAATCAACTAAAAATTATTTGAAATATGTAATAGTAAATAAAGTTTGCCAGATTGATTTATCACAATTCTTTAGATTTTTGGTGCCAACATAACGAGTAATTCCTTTAACAAATTCGTCAATTGATGAAATTTTAAATTGTTCAAGAATTGATGAATGTAAGGTGAAAGAGCCATCGTTATTTTGAGATATGCGAATTGCGTGAGCGTCATCAAGGATGGAACGTTCTTGAAGATATTTAAGCACAGTTTGGCGAGTGTCTTCGGAAACTTCAAGTTTGACCTTTTCTATTTCTTCTACAGTTACATGTTCAATTTTTCTGGAGCCTTCTTCGATCACATATTGTTCACATGCGCTAAATAATTCTTTTTCTAATTCTTTATTGTTATTAAGTTGTTTACTCAACCAAGAGTTAGCGCGTTCATAGGCAGCTTGAGTTTCACCTTTGTGTTCAACAAGAACATATCTTAAAATATAAATTGTGAGCGCAGTTTCAAAGACCGAATCATCATATGATCTTAAATGCTGGTTACTAATGTAACTTTTCACATTCGTAATTAACCGATTAGTGCTGGAGACATTAAATTGGTTTTTGATTGATTTATGGAGAGTAATTGAACCATCATTTTTCTGAGATGAACATATTGAACGAACATCATCAACGATGTATTCTCCTTTCAAAACGGAAATTGTTGTGTTCTTTGTATCTTCATCAAATATACTTGAAGAGTTCTTTCTTCTTTTTCCTTAACTGCTACACGATCAATAAAATATTTGTTTGAAGTCAAAAAAAAGTTCTTTCACTAAATTATCATCTCCGCCAAGCTGAGATCGAACATGTTCTTCAGCTTTATTGTACTTGTCTTTCCAATCATTTTCGTGTTGACTAGCTGTATTTTTCAAATATTGCCTAAAATAAAATGTGAAAAAATAAGTTAGAATAGAAGAAGAAAAAAATGTGTTTATATAAGGTTGGTTAGTGTGTACTTACATTGATATAACGGTTTGCCAAACTGAAGGTTTAACATTTTTGAGTTTATCATTTTTGGTATAAGTTATTACAGAGGTCACTAGAGATTCAGGAGAGGTAGAATTGAGCTTATCGGTAATTTCCTTGCTAACTTCAAAGGAACCATCAGTTTTTTGTGTTGAAACAATAATTTTAGTGATCTCAGGGGTAATTTGTATTTCTTTTAAAGCTTCTTTCTTAGATGCCTCTGCTACCTTTTCTGAACTTTTGTCAATTACTACTTTGCTTGATGCTTTTATGATGTCTTCCTCTAGTTGTTTATCTCTAATTTGAGAGCTAAGGTATTCCCTCGGTACTTGAAGGATTATCCGTATCTGTCGTGGCTGTACGTAGATATCCGAGCATGAGTGCTGTTTTAAAGATAAAATCGGAATTTTTAGGTTTAATTTTATCGCTTTTTTGACTAAATCCTCAGGGGAAGTATCATTAAGTTCTTTGGTGATCGTTTTGCTTATTCCAAAAGATCCATCATTATTCTGAGATGATATCGCATTATTGACGGTTTCTTTGGGGTTGATGATCGTATAGCAAGAACAGCTGCTTTCTTTTTATCTTTAATAACTTATTGAGTCGATTGTTTTACAACGTATTTGCTAGAAGCGTCTATTAATTCATCCACTTCTTTAGGATTTCCAATTTCTTTAGTTAAATATTGACGAGCATATTTTTCTTTCCATTCACCTTCATGCTGGTCCGCTAAATTTTTGAGGTATGCAATGTTTACGGCCGTAGTAATCCAGATAGGTTTTGTGTTTTTGAGTTTTTCATTGGTGATATATTGTTGAACAATAGTCACTATTGTTTCTTTAGGAGGTGCATCTAATTGTTTACAAACGGTTTCGCCAGCCTCAATAGAACCATCGTCATTTTGTTTTGATACTACATACTGGATAACTTCTTTGGTCGTAGATGACGTTTTAACTGTATCAAGAGCATCGACTTTTTCATGATCATGATCATCATCATCTTTCTCGTCCCAGGTGATTGCGTCTTCAATATCTTTGCTTAATTTTACAACACTTGTAGCAATATTATCAAACTATCCAGGTTTCGTTTTAGATTCAGTTTCAGGTTTGGCAGGAGTAGGTTGATCTTTTTGAACTTCTCTAGTATCTTTCTTGGGATGTGCTGCAGACTTACAGTACTAAGAGAACCAGTATTAGAAGTATCGGAAAACTTTTCAGCCAATTTACTAACTACGCTTTCTTTAGGTTTTTCTGGGGATTTTGTTGTACTGGTGGTAGGAGCTACAGGAATGGATTCGATTTTCTTTATTGTTGTTTGTTTTGTGGTATCACTACTACCCCAGTTGGGTAACAAATTGAACCAAGGTGATGATTCTTTTTTCTTTTTCTTTCTTATTGGAAACTTTCTCGACTACTATTTTTTCACAAGATTCTAAAATTTCTTTTTCTAATTTTTCATCCTTGATTTGCTCATGCAATCAAGCGCGGGCTTTTTCATTTTGATCTGTCCGTTTTGATTTGTGTTTTCCTAGCAGTAAGCAATTGTTATAAATGTATTCCATACTTTGGTATCAAATTTTTTGACGCGTTCATCAGTGATACGGACGGATGATGAAATATTTTCGGTTGTAATTACTCCAAGTTTTTCAGTAACTTTGTCAGGTATTTTTCATATGAACCTTCTTTATTTTGAATTTCAATGACTTTTGTGATCTCTTCTTCAGTTACAGTTTCTTGAATTTCTTGGATAACCGATTGATCCGCTTTTTCTTTGATTACTTTCTTGGCTGCATGATCGACAACAACTGTATCGGTTTTTTCTAATAATTCTTTGATTTTTTCTTCACTTCCTAACTCAGTCTTCAAATATTTTTCTGCTTTTGCAACTTTTTCTTTCAATTCTGTGAAGTGTCAGTAGATAATGTTTTTCTGAGGAAGGATAAGGTTATAGCGGTATCGAGTAATTTTTTGTCCTCTGGTGCTTTCGTTCCTTTATTGATGAAATAAGTTTTAATAGATGAAACTAATGATTCATTAGATTCAACATCAAGCGCCTGTCAGGGAGTTCTAAGGATCTATCTTCTTTTTGGGATGATACTATTTCTTTTGCTTTTTCGGTTGTGGTAGAGCTTTTGATAGTGGAAACGGCATATTCCTTTCCTTTTTTGACACTTTGATCAACAATAATCTTTTCCGACGTTGTTAATATCTCTTCTACTAATTTTTCATCTTTGAGTTCCTCAATAAGGTACTTTTTGGCTTTTTCAGATTGATCTTTATGTTGATCTTGAGATTGAGAGGTAATAGTTAAGTAGCGGAGTGACAAGGCTGTTTCCCATACGTTCTTCGGGACTGATTTTAATTTATCACTAACACCATAAGTTTGAATTGAGGATTGTATTTTATCAGAAGAGATGTTGATTTGATCGGAAACGGTTTTGTCTAATTTAATAGAACCATCGGGTTTTTGATTTTCTACGATCTTTTTGGTTGTTTCAGGAGTGGTAAGATTAATTAGTGTAGAAGATACAGCATCAGTTGTATATTGTATCAAATCAGACACACCCTCGGTTGTTTGTTTAGCTGTATCGGTAATATATTTACCCAACTAGATCCCCAACCAGTCAAAGAAGTAGACAAAGAAGGCCAAGAAGATTCTTTCTTTTTATTAGAAGCTTTCTCAACTACTAATTTCTCACAAGATTCTAAAACTTCTTTTACTAATTTTTCATCCTTAATTTGAGTATGCAACCAAGTGAGAGCTTTTTCATTCGGAGTTGTCACTTTTGATTGTTGTTTTCTTAACACTTTATTGCAGTAAGCAATTGTTATAAATGTATTCCATACTTTGGTATCAAATTTTTTGACATGTTCATCAGTAATATGGACGGAGGATGATATATTTTCGGTTGTGATTTCTCCAAGTTTTTCGGTAATCTGGTCGGATATTTTTTCATATGAACCTTCTTTATTTTGAATTTCAATGACTTTTGTGATCTCTTCTTTAGTTACAGTTTTTTGAATTTCTTGGACAATCGTTTGTTCAGCTTTTTCTTTGATTACTTTCTTGCTGCATGATCGACAACAACTGTATCGAATAATTCTTTAATTTTTCTTCACTTCCTAATTCAGTCTTTAAATATTTTTCTGCTTTTGCAACTTTTTCTTTTAATTCTGGTGAAGTATCAGTAGATGATGTTTTTCTGAGGAAGGATAAGGTTATAGCTGTATCAAGTAATTTTTTGTTCTATGGTGCTTTCGTTCCTTTATTGATGAAATAAGTTTTAATGGATGAAACTAATGATTCATTAGATTCAGCGCCCGTCAGGGAGTTCTAAGGATCCATCTTCTTTTTGGGATGATACCATTTCTTTTGCTTTTTTGGTTGTAAAAGAGCTTTTGATAGTGGAAACGGCATCTTCCTTTCCTTTTTTGACACTTTGATCAACAATAATCTTTTACGACGTTGTTAATAACTTTTCTACTAATTTTTCATCTTTGAGTTCATCAATAAGGCACTTCTTGGCTTTTCAGATTGTTTTTATGTTGATCTTGAGATTGAGAGGTAATGGTTAAGTAACGGAGTGACAAGGCTGTTTCCCATACGTTCTTTGGGACTGATTTTGTCACCAACACCATAAGTTTGAACTGAGGATTGTATGTTATCAGAAGAGATATTAATTTGATCGGATACGGTTTTGTCTAATTTAATAGAACCATCGGGTTTTTGGTTTTCTACGATCTTTTTGGTTGTTTCAGGAGTGATTTTTGATTTAAGATTGACAAGTGTAGAAGATACAGTCTCGGCTGTATATTGTGTTGTTTGAGATACATTTTCGGTTGTGGATTTAGCTTTTTCTTCCAGATGTCCTTCAGGAACAGTAGGAACAGCTTATTTCGCATAACAATAATACAAATTAATTTTTAAGTAAGTAAAATAAATATTTTAAATCAAACATTTCACGAACCTGAAAATTCTTTAGAGTCTAAATCAATTGTTTCATCAATATTAGAAAAATCAATTGAAGCTATATTAGTAGCATATTCAAGTGTTTTGGTTTCAGATTCATATTCTATGAATAATATTAGTATAACAAATATGTTATAGTTTCACATCTTTGCATTTTATATACTGGTTCGGTGGAATCTATTGGGATATTAGACTGAGGCAATGGTTTTACATCAATAAAATCATCATTTATTACAGATGCTTTTTCTTTTTCATAAAAATCAATTGGATCAATACTAGCAGTATAATTAAATATTCTTGTTTCGGTTTTGGTATTAGTATTGTGTTCTAAAAAAGAAAAAGAAGGAAATATAAAATAAATTTACTTTCTAACATTACTATAAATTCAAGTACTTAATTCTTATATACCTATATTTCTAGTTATCGGTGAAATTATCATTTCTTCAAATAATTCTGGTAAGCGTGAAGCATTAGGTCTTTTTGATGGATCAGGATCCCAACATTGTTTCATAAATTCAGCATAAAATTTTGGTGTTTCTCCAGTAATAGTTGGTCTCAATCCACGACAAACTGCTATTGCAAGATTTGTCATGATCCCGATCTTTAAATGGAGGTTTATTTGTAGTTAATTCCTACATTATCATACTTAAGCTAAAACTTCAGATTGCTTAGTGTATGGTTCTGTCTTTAGTACTTCAGGAGCGATATAAGGTAAAACTCTTTGAATTATATCTGAAACATTTTATTATAAAAAAGTTTTATTATTCATATTTAAAGTATTGTAGGATAAACTAGTTTTTTTTTTAAAAAAAATTATTTACCTATTTTTAAGTCAATGGGTTTACAAAGTCCAAAATCACATTAAAATTCCCCTATTTTCGTCTACCAAAATATTTTTGCAATGAAAATCCCTATGAACCAAATTCTTTTGAAATATTTATAAGAATTTCTATTCTGTCGGCCCAAGTTAATTCTGGGGAATTTTTAATATATTTCCTCAAATCTCCATATTTTGCACGTCTCATCACCATAGCGTATTTATTTTTTTCGGGTACTTTTGTTATTCCATAAAATGGTATAACGCTTTGACCACAACATTCAAGATGCATTTTAAACTAATGGTTGAAACGACGAAAAAAAAGGTTAGAAAATCATTGTTATTTTATTTAGATTAAAATTTTTCTTTTTACCTCGTTTTAGAATCTGTTCATCAGAATCTTTAATAGCTTTTATAGCCAAAGGTATAGTTAAATTAATTAAATTCAAATTTCCACAAAAAATTTCTGAATTTCCTCCTTTTGTTAAGTGTTCTATATTCCCTAAGTAATTATTGGGGGTATCCATTCGATAAAATCATCACAATATTTTGAATTATTTTGAGTTTCTTTAATAAATTCATCAATTTAAAATTTTCACTTGTATCAATTAATTTATCTTCAAATTCATTATTAACTTCGTTAGTTGGTATGCTACAATCAGTTACATTGAACTCATTTTTTTCTACATAATCGACGTTGACCTAAATAACTTGATATTTTACGATTACAATGCGTACAAATATTAAATTTTGAATCTCCACTTGCCGATCATTTTTCCTTTTTTTTTATATGGGAATAAAACGCCATTTTACTGGTTATAATTGATTTTGACGATCACTTACCGAGTTTCCAAGTATTTTATTTTTTCCAAATTATACATTGTGGTTACACTACGATTTCCCGAATGCTATTTTCCTGAATATACCTATTCCCGAAGTCAATTACCTGAATACTGAACTGAACATTTTCCTGAAATATACAATTCCCCGAATCCTTATTTCCTGAATCTAATTTCCTGAAATCCTACAATTTCCGAAACATATAATAATAAGAATTTTTCTAAATATCACCGGGGGTTATGTTCACCGGTGACTGAAATTATGATGATCGACCAGCATTAAAAAAATATAGTGCCGGTAAAAATTGATAATTCCGGCCAACGGTGATGATCACCCCCGGTGATTTGAAGCGTTGCGTGTTGGTTTGTAGTAAAATATTGCATCATATTCAATATATCTATCAGATGACAATGATATTATTAACAATTTTAAAAGTGCCATAACATCTATTGTTAGCTATTACTACATTTGTTAATTTCGTAATATACATAGGAAATTACTAACAAACACTTTATTATAATATACCTTAAATATAATTTTACATATTGAAAATTAGCAATGTTATTGTAAAAATAAAAAGTATTGTGATAATGTGATTCCAAAATGATTGAAATATTATGTGAAATTCCTCTCAAATAATAAATAAGTGTAATATTAAAACTGTTAAAATCACAATTTCTTGATCTATTTAATGCTTGCTTTTATTATATAGCAAAGTTTCCACAAAGAATTAATTCATTATCAAAGCAGTGATGAGTTTTGGACACAATTTTTAACTTTAAAGGTTTTGGACAAGGTTTTAGACATAAGAGAATTGTCCAAAATCCTGTCTAAAACTTGTCCAAAACTTGTCCAAAACTGCCCAGAACTGTCCAAAATTGTCCACTGATCAAAGGAAAAAACTTTGAAAAGAAATTTTAGTATTTATTTCTTAATTACATTATGGCTGGTTTTTTATTAAATGTTTAAAACATTTTCTAACATGTAAATAGATTTTAATTGATTAATATATATATATTAAGTCTTTTAAAATCCAAATATAGTTTCAATAATCAATCTTTAATTAACTATAAGTAATGTAATGGAATTTACTTTATATACTTGTATTTAACTGAATTGGCAGAAAGCTATTATAAAACAGAATTTTAATGAATTATTATTTCATTAAAATAATAATAATAAATAAATTATTATATCAGATATGCAATAATTTTTTTGTTACATAAAATTCATAAGTACACATCTATATACTAGCCCTATTTATTTCTATTCTATTCTGTTCTATTTTGAATTTTTGACAAATTTTTTAGCCAGTCAAATTCATTTAAAAATTGGAATAATAATTAAAATAACAGATTAAAAAAATTGATGATCTGAGCATTCCAAAATTTAAAAATGCAATATAAGTTTTAATATTGGTTAAAAATAAATGAAACAGAATGAACATGATTTTTCTATTCAATTTATACTATTTTTAATTGACTAAAATTAATTATACTAAAATTGGATTAGAATAGAACAGAATAAAAATGAATAGAATTACTATACCCTGGTAATTTAATATTTAATAAAATAAATCAAAATTTTCTAATATTAATTTTATTTAATATTAACATCACAGTAAATATTTACAAATACATTTACAATAGTCCTAAAAATTTTATAGTTTAAAAAAGTTTATACTTAGTTATCAAAATTATATTTAATAATTTATATTTAATAGGACCCCAGACATTTCTTATAGAACTCAACTGACTTTTTGCCAAAAAAGGCCCAATTTGCTCTTTTTTATTTTTCTGTTTTTTGCAATTATCTCGGTATCCAGTGATCCAATTCATGCGGATTTTTTTTATTTTGTAGAGCGCGATGAGAGCTATAAAACAAAAAAAAGTTTGTACAAATTGGACCACTGGATGCTGAGATAATTGCAAAAAACTGATTTTTTTTTTGTGAAATTTAGGTCAATCTACAAAAAAGTTGTCACTGAGTTGTATATGTAATGTCCGGAATAAGGTTTTCTGCCTAAACCTCTCCAAAATTCTATGATTAGTTTCTCCAAAATTTTACTATAATTTTATTATAGTCACTGGTCGAAATAAAAACTTTCAGTCATGTGACAAATCAGCTGATCTGTCACACATTTTGGCCAAATTTCAGAAATTATTAAAAATCGGCCAAATTTCGACATATATGATTTATGGTCGATTTATTGAATTATTTAATCAAACGTTACGCATTACGCATTATGCGTATTAAAAGTTAAACTTTTTTTAATTTTTTTCTTCCCTTCCCCTTTCCTTTCCTTCGTTCCCCTTCCCTGTTTCCCCTTCTTCCCCTTTCCCTTCCTTCCCTTTTTCTTCCTTCCCCTTCTCCCTTTCACTTTTTTTACTTTTTTTTTATAGGTTCAGCTTTCAGGTGGGCTTCCGAAGTACAGAAACTCCAAAGATTCGTAAGTACGAATACTTTGGAGTTTATTTTATTTTTTTTTAATACGAACGGTTACTAATCGTTCTTTTTTCTTTCTTTTTTTTTAGGTTCGGCTGTTTGGGTGGGCTTCTGAAGTACAGAAACTCCAAAGATTCGTAAGTACGAATACTTTGGAGTTTATTTTATTTTTTTTAATACGAACGGTTACTAACCATTTTTTTTTTTCTTTTTTTTTAGGTTCGGCCGTTCGGGTGATTTCCGAAGTACAGAAACTCTAAAGATTCGTAAGTACGAATACTTTAGAGTTTATTTTATTTTTTTTTAATATGAACGGTTACTAACCGTTCTTTTTTTTTCTTTTTTTTTAGGTTCAGCCGTTCGGGTGACTTCCGAAGAATGGAAAAAACCAAGTTTCGTAAGTACGAAACTTGGTTTATTTTTTTTTAATATTATGAATGGTTATTAACCGTTCTTTTTTCTTTCTTTTTTTAGGTTTGGCCGTTTGGGTAACTTCCGAAGAATGGAAAAAACCAAGTTTTATAAACACGAAACTTGGTTTATTTTTTTTTAATATTATGAACAGTTATTAACCGTTCTTTTTCTTTTATTTTTTATAGGTTCAGCGTCTCAGGTAGGGCTTTCGAGTTTCGAAGAACGAAAAAAACCAAGATTCGTAAGTAATCTTGGTTTTAATTTTTTTTGTTTTTTTAATTTTATTAATGAACGGTTACTAATAACCATTCCTTTCTTTATTTTTTAGGTTCGGGTGGGCTTCTGAAGAACGAAAACCCAAAGATAAAGATTCGTAAGTACGAATCTTTTCTTTATAATTTTTTTTTTGTTTTTTCTTTATTACGAATGGTTACTAATACACTGGTAAAAAAATGATTTATCCTATACATATCTTACACATATTGAGTACTCAAAATGTAGAAAATCATACACAAATAATACACATATCATACACATATCGGGTACTAATATATATATCATACATATATCAGGTACCTGATAGGTATACTATATATATAAG